CCTTAGTGACCTTGTAGATACTTGTCGTAGACACTAGACCTTGTATAATAAATAGTAATTTTAAGAAAATAAATAAATCGTAAAAACCTGTGTTATTTCAGATCTCAACTGTACTTTATCAAAATACTCCGAACATAAAAGACTAATTACTTTGATTAAAACCGGTTATTCGTACACTTTAATTAACTACAACAACCTTTTAGGAACGAGTTGAAAAGATATCACCAATCAGACTGTGAAAGATTTCCGGCTGAAAACACATTTCAGTAATCTGCGGGTAAAAAATAGGAAGCTTTTAACTTTTAGGATTGAACTATATATTTTAAGGCAGTTTAACAAGTCATCAATATTGTAGGGTGGATTCAATCAAATATTAAAACTCAAAGATCAATCCTCAAAAAGCAATTCAGTATATCCAAGCACATTATTAAGGAAATTTTCTTATATCGTTTGTTGCTATTAAGCATTAATCTAAAAGGGCTGGCGTCACGATTACTGAAAGCAATTTAAAATCGTCTCTATCGGCTATTGATTCATTATGTTATTTGGCGACTGAACAACAGTTTATTGGGGTCTATATCTTAGATGGGCTTATCGTGTAGATTGAGAGCGATGCTCGAGCAAGAAAGATAATGAGAGTAAGAATAAGAAGACGTAGAAAAATGTTGTTTTCAAAGAAATTCAGGCTAATTGACTGTCATAATAATCCAATTTAACGGAACCTAACTTGATGTACAATATGGAAGAAGCTGCGCAGACTGTAGTGGAATCTAGAGTATAATGCTGTGTTAGGCCGTTGTAGAAGAAAACTAGACAACGTAAAAAAATATTGTATTTCCAAAGCAATTATCAATTTTTGCTAGCACTTACCCCACATAGCTAACCTATCTGACTGTCATTATGGTCTAAGTTAGTCTAAAGTCACTTGATGTACACTTGATGCTGATATATATAGATATATATTTATATATATATGTAATTTTACATTCATTATTTTTTACATATGTAATTATATATAATATCTTCTTAATTATTTAGTATTTAAGTTCCATCAATTTATTTGTTATTTATTTTTACATAAGATATTTCGAAGATAATTCCAATTTGCAAACATACAATAAAATTAATGAAACACCATTAAAACAGAAAAAGGGTAGACAGAGCATATCCTTTACCATACAATATGATGAGGAAACTATTTCACATACTCGCATATGCGAAAACGTATATCCTTGACGCAGACACATATGCGGAAGCCTTGGAAGATAAGAAAAATTTATTTAGCGTTGAAAATTCAAAACAAATGATACCAAATTAAGTTGACTTATGAGTTGGAACTGCTCGTGCAGCTGCGTCCAGGGTGGTTACTACAAACAAAGTGACATTGGGAAGAAAATTAACAAACTAAATATTTTAGAAGAATATGCGAGCATGAAGGTGATTAAAATAACATTTAACTATAAAATCATTTAAAAAAATATATAAAAATATTTTGTATATAAACTTATTAAGGAGAAAATAATAAACTATAGTAAAATAATATTTTTGTCTTTTTGGTACTTTCTGTATAACAAAAGAGAATTAGCAGAAAAATTCTAATTAAAATAGATTTTCATATGTTTTAATTTATTTTATTATTTTTATTATTTAAATGTGCCTTTGTTCTTTTCATTTGCACAGAAATTCTTAAAAGGATTTCGACTTTCGTTGGCTAACCAAGCAAAAATTTTACTGATTACAATAGAATCCTGTTATGGCGCATTTCGTTTATTTAATTGGATTGGTTCGGCTAGGTCATAATAGGCAAACCTCAGGTTGCTAATGGCAATTCACCTTTATTTAAGGTTGACTTGAGAGTTGCTTAATAATATTGCAAATGCTTCTATAATGTCAATGCTTGTATAATGTCGTTGCTTGGAGTAACAGGACACATTACTTGTAAGTGTCTAAGTGTCGACTATTTTGCACCGAAGCGTAAAAAGGAACTTTGTTCTTGGTTGACGATATCCTGACGACATCCTGACGACATCGTATCATCTTTTGAGTGAACAATGAATTGTGTGTAGGAATGAAAGTACAAAAGTACCATTTTTAAATTTTTCATCAAAATGAAACTCAAATTTACCTAAAAAACTTGTGGAATTAAATTTCAAATTATTTTCATTTTGTAGTGTATATAAAAATAAATAAAATTATTGCTTATGTGAACTCAAAAAATTCTGAAAAAATATTTAAGTTTATAGTATTTGACTTATATATAAATATATTAAAGTTTGTAAAATATTCTATATTTACTTAACTTTTGAAGATTTAAGGGAACTTCAAAAAAACAACATTTGAAGTAATGTCATGCTAAGGTTCTATGCTCCAATAGGAGAGAAAGACAGCAGTGAGTAAACAAATAATATTGTAATGCTTATAGTGAAGTATCCATTGAAGTGCTTAAAACCAGTTCGTAATAAACAATTTCCTTTCAATCTGACAAAACACTAATATTAGTTTACTTTCCGTCAATCCAGAGTTTGAAGTCAATTGTGGAAGGTCACCGATCTTGACCGTATAAAATCCACTTTTCATCGTCCGTTATGATTCCATTTCGTTGCTTTTCAGCAGCGTTTGACTGATGATAATTTGGTCCAACAAATTTGCTTGCCTCAACTCTGCGCTATCCAAACATCGAGCGTCTTTGCTTGGCATACTCTTTTTAAAAATTTACAAACTGTCATGTGGTTGATACCCCAGCTGTCTCTTGAGAGGTTGCAGGTCCATCACTATCTATCAATTTCAGAATTTCATCAGCTTTTCAGTGGCCAATTAGAATGAAGTGCATTTTGGACATCAAAATTTCCTGAACGGTATTGAGTAAACCATTTCTAAGTCCGGCGTTTACTGATAGTGAATATATTTCATGGCATGCTTTTGCGGCAGTTTCACCTATTTTATAATAACAAAACACTAAAATCAATATTACGTTTTGCATAAGGGACGAATCACACAATTGCTTTCCCAAATATATAGCCTGAAATTTCATCTTCCAATACATATTACTTTAACATAATCGGATAACTGTGGCCAAATACGTGAGTACCAAACCCATCTAGTGATAAAAAAAATCGCTGATAGTTTTTATATAACCAACTCATGCGAAAAAAAATTCCATACTAAACCATCGAATAAACATTATAGAATAAAGGACTAAGCTAGTAACATTAAAAGTGCGAAATAAAAATAAAAAAGAAAAAAGTGCCGCATTAGCGCACTAAAAACATGGAATAAAAAAAAAGCACTACTTTTAAGAAACACATTTTGCACTGGCATCAAAAGTCAAAAATATTCGTCAGTACTTGCATTAAGTATAAAATTCATAATAACAGACGTACATGCAGAAAACTATATAGACAAATAATGCCACTTAGCGAAATTCATCAACCCAGTCATTCTTATCATTTTTGGTTTTTAACTATCATATAAATTTCTTCTAAAGAAAGATATCTTCAAAACACATAATGCTTAATTAAAAATATATGAATCAAGTTTTTTTTTTTAACTTTAAAGCTTCCGCAATGGTTTAGACTATTTTATGATAGTCGAGAATAAACAATTCCATATATTAAACAATTTTTGTTTGAAATACGCTCTCAGATATCATAATGTATTCTTTATATAGACACAGTTCTTTGAAGTAAATAAGAATTATAATTGAATTATAATTGAAAATATTTTTTTAATGCTATAATAAAGCTAGTATAAGCTTAAAATGCAAAAAATAGAAAAAGTCATCTGGCATTAAGCAACGTGATATACTTCATTCCGCTCCATGCGGAAATGAGGGCGTATATTTAGGAACAAATTTCTTTTATGGATGTGTAGCATACAAAACGTATAATTAAAAATTTCTAAAATATATAAATTTTTTACAGCACTTTAACAAGCCACATATTGTCCACTGTGTCACAAAGAAATTTACACCAAACAATCTAATGTATTAAAGTTTTTCCATATGGAACGTTACAGCACCTCCGTTTTAATATATAGTATAAGGTAATTTTTTAGTGCCTTGAAAAAGCATATAATTCCTAGAATATATACATAAATATTTAGTGCTCTAAAGAAGTTGGTTGAGTTAGAGAATGAAACAGTAACTGAAATTGAATAACTTGAGTTACTAAACTTTTTCTATCTAGAAATGCTATCCGATGCATTACAATATTCTTATGGAATACGTACTATCTTTCAGTTACACGAAAGTAATTAATGCAATTAATATTATGGTATTATTAAAAAGCTATTATGAATTTAATTAGTATAACACCTTTTTTAAATTAAACTCTAATAAAAATAATAAGAACTAGTTTTTATAAAATAATTATAATAAATTAATTATTTTCTTTTCGATGGTATTCACTAAATTCTATCAACTGATATGCTAATGTGACATATACAGCGTATTATGGGATTAGACGTGTTCTTCACAGTACAGCAAATATATTTACATATTTTATATAGCAGTTTCATACTACTTTTGTAAGGAATATAGCAAATAAATAATAAATATATTCAAGTAACATATATATGTTTTGTGGGGTTATAAAAAAATAATGAGTGTGTTAGGAGGGACTTTCTGGACTAAATCCAAAAACCGCTTAGTTGAATATCGAATATTTATATATAATCCAAACTAATTATTTCTAATTCTAATTTATCTATTATTCTTATATATTCAAAAAATTTTTTATTTTATAATTTCATTCATTTATTATTATTTTAAACTTTTTGTTTTGGTTCTAAAGTAGATGTTAATTTTAAAACATAGCACTACCCACTATAATATTTACAGGCTAATTAAGTTTAATTATTCTTATGACTTATCTAAAGTTTATAAACAATTATAAAATTTACAACTTTGACTTTAATAACTAAAATATTTACTACATAATAAATGTATTTTGATTCTCTTTTTATTTAATTACAAAAATTTTATTGTATACATAATAATTCTGTATGTTAAGCTAAATTTAATTAAATTCGATATGTTGTTCTTTTATTAACAAACTCTTAATCTCAAGTCTTAACTAAAGCCAATAAAACTCGCAGAAAGTAAAAGAAAAAAATTAAAAAAGAAGTCTTACGATATGAAAAAATTCACAACAATTATTAAAAACGGAAAATACTATGATTAGATACTATCAACCGCTTCATAAGCTGCAAGGTCTAAATCACGTAAGTTGGAATGCTCAGATACAAAAGCCTCATTCTCCTCAAACCCGATGCCTAGTGCCGTTACTATGGCATTACGGAGCCGCTAGTAGGGACGCCAAACATCATTCGGCTTGGGTGTACGACAACGTATAGGTCCAAAACTGCCACTTCCCGAACGAGAAGTGGTACTAACATCATCTAAATCAATAGTTTCCACAGGTGATGGTGAACGACGAGTTGAGCTGACTGGTGGCGAGGCATTAGGATTTGCATTTTCATTGTCCTGTGAATGTGAGATGAGTGTTACATTTCGTTTAACTAAATTCACGCCATTGGATACATCTGTTGTGCTGGCTGGAGCTGTAGGCATAGATTGTGTTAAGCCCGCAGACGTTGGACTTGTAGTCATAGCACCACGAAACCAAGGCATATCACTGTAATTACCGTAAAGTTGTGAATACAGCCACTGACTAGGCTGTGGCAACAAAGGATTCTGCAAGAATAGTTGTGCAGCCAAAGCTGGATTAAAACCATGACTTGGTTGAAAGTGATTTGCAAATCCAGTAAATATCTCATTTTTACGTAAAGTCGAGTTACGCTGTATGAGTGATGTAAAGGCACCACCATTACCGTTACTGCTTGGTGGAGAAATGCTGCGCCCCTCATCGTCTTCATGCAGAGATGATACTTTACGTGGAGAACCGGTTACAGATATGCTATCACTTTCGAAACCAGCGTCAATGATGTTATTGTTTTCATTATCACTATTTGTTGTGGTTAAAGGCGGGGATGTGGTTAATGGCAGATGTCCAATTGCAGTATTAGTTGTGGTAGGTGAACCTTCAGGACTTGTTGTACTGTGAGCAGCATTAATGGTTGATAATTGACTTAAATGTGTTAGGTGTGCATTTTCTGTAAACAAAGCAATAATAATTAACTATTACTGTTACAAAAAGTATATCAATCAGTCCTTACCTATTGTTCCTAAGCCATTACGTTCCAACGTACTAGCTATACCATGTGCTGGAAAAGCGGCGTGAGGATGATGAAAGAAATGTGCGCCATGTGGAAATCCAGGACGTCCTAAGGCAGCATGTCCGGCACCCAGTGCACGCCAATCTGGTGCTGGTAAATGGGCATGCATACCCACTAGATGATGAGCGAAACCTACAAAAGGAAAATAAGTATATTATTATGGTTACAAAATTGTTATTATTATTGAACGAGATAATGGCATAGTACAGAGCGGCAACACATATCTATTTTACTATATCCAGATAAAGTCATACAATTCAATATTACACAGAAACGCCTGAGATCTATTATGCTATGTGCAGAAAAAGTCATACTATAGCAGAGCACATAGCGGTGATCTAAGATCTGTTATGCTTTATCCAGAGCAAGTCTCACAGTAGAATAGTACATAGTGAAATTGTGCTATACCCTAAGAAATTTAAACAAGTAGATAATACAACTAGAGTTGAAACACATATTAAACTAATTAGAATAAATTTAGACCATTGATGAACTTTATGTCTACTCCTTGGTTCAAGCTTCCCGTCTACATTTAGTTCAAAAAAATTAGTTTAGGCTAATTGGAACAAATTTAAACCTTTGATGAACTTAAGACTCCAGTCCGCATTAAGTTCAATAAAAGTCGGAATTGAAATATAGAGTTAATTCGTGTCAATCACGGCATGCAAGCATATAAAATAGGCATTTTACTGAAACTACAATTTTTTTCGACTTCTAAAGAAAATTCTACTACCACAACTGAAACTCCAGGTATTAGTATTTCATTAGCTTCCCTTCCAATAGTTCCATTATTATTCCATCCTATATTCTTCCACTAGTAGCTTTAGAAAGTTTTTAAAACTGCTCATTATGGCAAACTTAGTTTGCTATTACAGATGTGACCTCTTCCAGCCAGCCCGATCAGGGGCTTGTTGTCATCAATTGGTAGGACCGAATGTCTTCATATCATTGGTTACTTCTCCTTCCATCTGAATTGCAGGCGTCCTTTACCGCATGTTCCATCAACACGCACTGAATCAAACACCTTTTTAGTCGGAGCATTTTTACATCCGTACGACCAAGCCAGCGAATCAATAAATTTGTATGCGGTTAAAAATATGCCAATGTCATTCCATTTAATCCACTACTCATTGCCATCGCGTAACGAACCTTAGATATTCCGTAGAATTTTTCTCTAGTAGCTCATAAAACGCATTTGAAATTTATTTCCAATTTTATTAGTAAATCATTGCCACTTAAATGGCCAAAAACAAAGCCGCATAAGCCCAAACTGCTATACCAAAATTTAGCCGCTCATTTTGGTCTATTTCTGGGCATAGCCACTATTATTAACCACACACCCATTGAGTATATGCAACTCACTCCTATACAACCTTTGTAATACTGGTCGTATATAGAATTTTTAGCATGTTACCATTATTCCATATGTTTTTATTCAGTTCTGTGCTCACACTACCAATATTTGGTTTTCTTAACATGTACGTGTACAAGCAAATCGTAGCAGGCCCACCCAAAATGGCGCATATACCCACCGTTAGTACTACCATTAACAAGTTCTCATACATATT